ATAATAATTATTATTATTATTATTATTATTATTTAACATTAATTACATTACAATGATAGTTTGGACAAGTTCAATAACGCCGGAATGGTATATTATTTATTTAATAATATTTCTCTTATGCGCTCTATTTTTCATTTCAGGCTTCAATTTTGTCCTATTTTCCCCCAAAAATTTCAGTCCATGTCAGTATGTGAAGCGTGACTGTTGTGTCAGCCTATGACCCTAGGCCTAGTTTAAGGAGGGGCCTCAGCCTGTAGTTAGGCCATATAGTGTATCCTCTTTCTCTCTTGTCTTTGGTATGACTGTACCTATCTACACTTTATAACAGGAGGTACTAGCTGTTGTTGTTTTAGATAATATACTAACATTTAATAACATCCAAGAAGGTCACAGTTAGTTACACAGTGACGTACATCACATAAGTCCGTGTACCGTAGGTAAACATAGAAAGAGCAATAATAGTAAAACTCGAGCGTCACGACATTGCGAAGTGTCTGCTCTTGTTCCTCATATCGTACTCACTCGAGTCAATCCGAGATGGCCCGAGTGAAGTTTCAAGCAAATGTTTCGTACGGAAAAAAAAATCGCAAGCCGGCAGGGCTTTAGTATGGAAGGCCGTTTGTGACAAAGTATAGAAGAATTAAAGTAGGCGTGTAACCAGTCAGTGTACGGAACGCCGTTTTTGTCAAAGAACAGTAAAATTGAACTGTACGTGTTAATAACAAGTGTTTGTGTCTAGTTAAAGGAGCAATGAAATAGGCGTATAACCAAGCAGTGTATGGAACGCAGTTTGTGTCAAAGGAAAGTAAAAGAGGTCTATACGTGTTGATAACTAGACTTGCCACAAGTCTCTTATTTGTTATTATTTTTCTCATTCTGGACAGCACCACCAACGAGAAAGTTAATTTAGAGATAGACGGAATAAGCGACTTGTAAAACACTGAAATCAGGCACCAGGATGCCAAAAGAATGACGTAATCTTATATTCCGTATTTGGATAAATGGGCGGACCAAAATAAACAATTTCAACCAATCAATCGCGTCGACTAGTTAGGCATGACTAAATTTAAATAGTCCTCCGTAATAAAACGAGCCTAAAATATTTAGAATAGACCCTAGTAAGACTAATTTTGGCAATGGCAAAAACAATTAAGCTTAGACTAGATGGCATACCATACAAATACAACAAAACTTTAACTTTCCAGGAAGATTAGCTTTACTTATTGAAAGTACTATTCAAGAATGTACTGATAAATTTGTCCCATTAAGATCCAGGACTTCTAATAATAGAAAACCGTAGATGAATAGGGATGTGGAAAAAGCAATTAAACGAAAGCATAAAGCATGGAATATTTTTCAGAATAGAAGAGATATAGAATCTCGTCAGGAATATGTGAGGTTTAGAAACAAAGTTACTGCAGAGGTTAAAAATGCACGAGCTACATTTGAAGCAAAACTTGCATTAGAGTCAAAGGTAAATCCCAAGGCTTTTTGGGCTTATATTAAAAGTAAAACAAAGATTAAGGATCATATTCCTGATATTTTTTATGAAAATAATGTGCTAGTCAACACTAGTAAATCAAAAGCAGAAGTGTTCAATAATGCATTTGCTAGTGTGTTTACAGATGAGTCTCACGATCCTCAAGTTTTAGATAATATGGATGTGCCTGGTATAACTTCTATAGAGTTCACAGTTGAAGAAGTGGTAAATCATTTTAAGAGTTTAGACATTACAAAGTCTCCCGGTCCTGATGGGATTCATTCTAGAGTACTGATGGAAGTAGTTGAGGTACTTGGAGAATTGATAACTTTGTTGTTTAATAGGTCTTTAAGAGAAGGGATTGTTCCCGATTCGTGGAGACAGGCAAATGTTGTGCCTTTGTTTAAAAAAGGAAATAAAAATAATCCTTTAAATTATAGACCTGTGAGTCTTACTTCTGTAATTTGCAAGTCTATGGAAAAGTTGGTTAAAGTTAGACTTTATGAGTATTTGGAATCTAATAATTTAATTAGGGAAGAGCAACATGGTTTTCGCTCTGGTAGATCTTGCACTACTCAATTACTTGAAGTAGTTGATCAATGGACTCAATGACTTGATAGTGGTTTGTCGTTTGATTGTATTTATTTTGATTTTCAAAAGGCATTTGACAAATATAAGTTAATAATTCGTCCTGTGATAGAGTATGGTAGTTGTGTCTGGAATTCTAAATATAAAAAAGATTCTGATTTATTAGAGAAGGTCCAACAACGCTCCACCAGATGATTAGAAGTCTGAGTGACAAAGCTTATGTGGAGAGACTTAAGGCTCTTAATTTGCCAACATTGTTATTTAGAAAAAAACGAGAGGATGTCATTCAGACCTATACGATTTTTCAAGGTATTGATCTTTTGGATCCAGAGCGCTTGTTTACAAGATCAGATTATTCTATAACCAGAGGCCATGTATATAAATTGTATAAACAGAAATTTAAACTCAATGTTAGGAAAAAGGCATTCGTTGTTCGAGTTACTGACGATTGGAACTCCCTTCCTAGTAATGTGGTAAATCAGAGTTCAGTAAATCTTTTTAAAGCGGGCTTGGAGAAAGTCTGGTCTGGCCACCACCTTAAATTTTGCCCGTATATGACCGAAGAGGATTCGTTAATGATTCGTAATAGATAATAGATAAATTAGTGTACTTTTAAGTATTGTTTGATATCTTAATCGTTAATTTTTTTTTATATACAGTAGAACCCCTATTAAAGGGGCACCCCTATTTGGACCAAAACAAGTGTCCCAATAGGGGTGTCCCCTGCTTACGAAAAACGTGAAATTGTCCCCTTAATAGGAGTTGGCTTGGAGAAAGTCTGGTCTGGCCACCACCTTAAATTTTGCCCGTATATGACCGAAGAGGATTCGTTAATGATTGAGGGACAAATGAGCTTTGATCTCTAAGTCTCGAAGATTCAAGGTAAATTCAAGGTAAAGATGCCTCAGGCCTCGTCTGGATGGAGTCAGGAGTAGTAGGCCTAGCCTAGTAGTAGAGGCTTGGCGTATTTTTAAGTTCTTACAGAGGCCTACCTTTTTAACAATATTCTACCCTAAAGGCCTAAATCTGTAGCAGCTAGCGGTGAGCAAGGTTCCTAAGTATAGCCTACGGTTATCAGTAAATGTCGTTCTCAGCAGACCAGAACTATTATACTAACTGTTTTAATTCAAGTAGGTAGCCAAAAGGAAGCTGGAGCTTGTTCTAGTCGAGACATCCGCATCTTCAATTTTGAAAATTTACGAAGATTGATTAATATGCATGAGGTTAGCCAATCACGTGATTTACAAAATCAGTCATGCATACGATATCCCACATCAAATTTGATGTGGGAAGTTGCACGCATGAATCGTTTGCTCAGGCCCTAATTCTAAAAAAAAGAAATCGAGTATGGGACGCCAAATAAATTAGGTATGGCGCGCACTAAGTGCAATAAAGAGTGAAAACCTAAAATTAGGACCTGGAACCCAGGCTAGTTGATAACCAGTGTTTGTATGAAATTGGAGAAGAAATAAAGTATTCGTCTAACCAGGCCTTGTATGGAACGTCGTTTGTGTCAAAGGACAGTTAAGTTAGACTATGTGTGTTGGTAGCAAGTATGTGGAGCGCCGTCGATGTCAAATAGAAGAACTATTGGACCAAAGCTGTGAGTACGTGAAATGAAGGCACCTTCAAGATAATATACCAGCAGGGAATGGACTTTTGATCATAATTGAACATTTATACTGGACGTTATTTGTGCCTTTGTGTATGTTCTTATGATTCAAATCCATGAATTGTACTGGGTATGTTTAACTAAAAGTTGTAATTATTATTGTTATGTGATTAAGCCCTTTATACATAGTATTTGATGTGTAGTAGTTCCCATTGAGATACTGTATGATATAGTAAGCTTAACAATTTCATATCTTAATTTTGTCTTGATTAATTGCATATATTTTAGTTTCTTATTCCGAACATTAATCATGTCTGTAAGATCAAGACCTGTCTCAGTGCGGTCATCACAGTCTGCAGCATCATCATTGGATTTAAATGCTGCACAAGCTAGAGCTGATTTGGCGGTGGCTAAAGCTAGGGCAGAATTTAACAGAAGGAAAGCTGAAGATAACAGAGCTAGGATTGAAGCAGTAGTAGAAATGGACAGGCTGCAGATAGAGGAAGCGGTGGCTGCTGCCCAAATACGAGCAGATACATTGGAAACGGAGTTGCAGCTGCTACAAAGTGATAATGAATGCAGTGTACTATCTGAGCTTCTAGTAGACGAACCAGACCAGAGAGTAGTAGAGTTTAGAAATGAGGAGCCTGTTTTAAATGTAGTCCAGGAAGATACTGACACAAAACCTCCCGTTATATCACAACCAAGCCATCCAAGCCATAGTGAAAGTGCGTCCCATTTATTAACCGCAAATGGTCTCAGTATGAACATGCCGAAACCTGAAATTTCAACATTTGATGGAAACCATCTTGAATATTGGAACTTCATTAACGCGTTTGAAGTCAATGTAGCAAACAAAGCCATTGATGATAGATCAAGATTAACCTATCTTATACAATTTTGCGTTGGGAAAGCAAGGAACAGTATTGCCAATTGCGTGCTGTTAGGAGGTTCAGAGGGTTATGCTGAAGCCAAGCGTATCTTAAAAGAGGAATTCGGTCAGGCACATGTCATTGCAAAAGCTCATCTGAGCAAGGTGTTGAATCGTCCTCAAGTTAGGTCAAATGATGGTAAGGGACTATGGGACCTAGCTAGAGACATGCGCAGGTGCCAGACAGTTCTTTCCCAGATGTGCTATTCAGCTGATATGAATAGCTCAGAAACTATCTTAAGAATTCAGCAGCTTTTACCAATCCACCTGCAAACGAAGTGGGCAAAGAAAGCCTATGCAATGATGGAGAAATTAACCACACTCGACTTTAAGTGTATGTCATCATTCGTCGAGGAGGCGGCCAAGTTAGCTAACAACATGTATGGCCAAAATATTGGAGGTTCGTATCCCAAGAATACACCTAAGTGGAAACCAAACAGCAAAGGGATAACAAGCCTTACTACAACCACGAGGCGTCCGGAAGTAAGTTTGACAACGGAAACAAGACTTACGTGCCCAGCCTGTTTAGGAAGCCACAAGTTAGAAAAGTGTAGAGATTTCATCCGCTACTCACGTGAAGAAAGACTCAAAATCTTGAGAAAGGAGAGACTGTGTGATAATTGCTTTGGTGCCTCACACATAGCAAGAAGATGTTCAAAGCCATCACAATGTGAGCAAGGGTGTAAATGGAAGCACCACAC